AAAAGGCATCATCATCCTGATTCATATTTTCCATCTGTAGACTCCACTTGTGAAGTAACGAATCTCACAGATGTGTGCACACATACAGTACATGCACACACATGAGAACTCCTGTGCCAATACAAACACACTCGCATAAAGTTCCAACAAATTCTCTATGTCCAGATACATAAAAAACATCACAGTGAGGAACAAATAGGAACAGATGCTATGTTTCTTTCTGGATGTGGTGTAAGCAGGTGCTGTCAGCGCGCTTAGAAAAAGCCCAAAAGTAATAAGAGCTAAGGGGTTATAAAAGGTAAAGATTTGGGCAAGATTACTTGGCAAAGTCCATTGTGACACTCTCAGAGTAGAAGGCACATTCTGTTCTGGGATCTCTCCCAAAACTCTGCCTTCTTGCCCTTCATTTATAGAGGGAAAGTAGTGTTAGGTATTTTTAGTCAGATAGAATTTGGATAGATACTTTATGTATTAGAAATGTTTAGTGGAGATAGGATGTCTAGTTAGACTGTTAAATGCTTAGTCATGCTTATGAGTTTCTACAGGGTACATCTGGTCAAGGATAACTAGAGAGAAGAGTTGATGACTGTCAGCAGACAGGGTGTTTAATATTATTATTATGACGTGTATAACTGTAGCTTTAGCCATAATATGTTCTTATGTTTAAGCCACGACATGTACTAGAGGTCGTGAGAATGTTTTTAGTTACACACCACTTAACCAACAGACATACACATTCACACGTTGATTTGCTTCATGTTTTGACTATTGCTATGGCCAGCTGCAAAGCTGGTAACAGAGACGTCCCGGTTGACGTTTCTGTGTAGTATGGGGCTAGCCCAAACGAGGTGATAGGCCTGGTGGGCTCAGGGTTTTCCACCTTACATCTGCCTGCGTGCATGTTGGAGGTGCAAGATACTTGAGCGTGTAATGTTAATTTTACCTGTGATCCTTTGAATAAATCAGCACTGTTTTGAAGTTACTTGGACTGCCTCGTCTCTCAGAGTTAGCAATGGTAACAAGAACCAAAGACCCACAGTAGTTTGAAAGAGGGCACTCCACTTGTTCTCAGAAAGGTGAAACTGACGGAAGGCATGCAAGAGTGTCACGGGCTGCAGTGAGACCTACAGACACAACCAGAGGACCTCTAGTGAGGTTGAGGCAGGGTTGGGCACAGGACACTGCAATCTGGCATCTTAAGAAAAGGCTGAGGTGGAGTTGCAGCCTGTGCACTAATCATTTCCTTTCACTTCCAGCTGTGTATCATTGCTGGTGAACAAATCCGGCGACCTGCCATGTGCGCATGCAACCAACCAATAGATCTGTGAAGTCACACAGCACCTTGACGCTGCAGGTCAGAGAGAAGCCAGGCCTGCCCTCTGTGCTCAGGGCTTTGCACAGCTCATTTACCATGACATATTTTCCCCTGTGATCGCCTGCCCTCTGCCTGGTTACTGGACAGATGATTATGTCCACTAACTTAGAAAGTGCATTTCCCACAAGGCACAGTGTTCTTACATAAAGAAATTGCTTTTGCATTTTTACACGTGCATACAGCAGACAAGTGACCCGTCAGTCAGATATAGCTATGGATGGGGAAATGGCACAGTTTGTCTATCAGAAGGAGATTGTGTATAATGGCCTGCTGCCTTAGTTGGACCAGCTGGATCGGGAGGCCACGGAACCTTTGGCAAAGATTAAAATGAACCTGTCCAGAGCCATTTTCCTCAGAGAGCTGTAGCCTGGGTTTGCTGTCAGGTGCAGGAAGCTCTTCTCACAAATGCTGCAGCTAGGTTGCCCTTTGGTTATAGGGACTCTAACATGAGGTTAAACCCATAATTAGTCATTTGGGACTCATAATAATAGTCTGTTTTGAAGTTTGTTTAGGTAGTTTTACTCTACAAGTCATTTTTTTGGGACATTAAATGTATATGTTTTGTTTCATAATGCAAGCAGCCCAACAAAACCACAAGCTACATCTAAACAGATTACCATAGTTAAATCAATACCTCTGTGGTGCAGTAATACCAAAATTAAATTAAGCTGTGCAACTGTGTAATAATATTTTTTGCAGGGTTATTGTATTGGATTGTGCAGAGTGTCTATGTTTTATTATACAGGTGGATAGAACTGTCATAAATACTAACTTTAAAAAGGCAAATCTCTAGTATTAAGTGCTAGATCTATCTGTTTTCAGATTCTGCTGCTCACTGATAAACATCGCTCACCCCCAAGTTTCTGAAGCTGTACGGGCAGAGGTTCAGTAAAGAGGACCATATCCCCTTCATCAAGCTGCTCAATGAGATGGACATGCTGCCAATCCTAGACCCTCACATGATAAAGAGCTACTTAATTAGCAGCTTATTCGGCTCCTCAAGTGTGTGTGACATGAACACGCACAAGCATATACATTAAAAAGGGAGATCCTAACTCTTATGGCAAAGGTAAAGAACTTGGATCTTGGAGAACTGCAGTTCCCTCGTGTTAATGACAAAAGCAAGTTGATATGCTGTGGATGTCTGATTAGTACACCTCTCTGTGGACCATGGGGCAGACCCACAATATGCTGGAGGTATTACATATCCCATCTGGCCTGGGAATGCCTCAGGATCCTCCAATTAAACATGACAGAAATATTAGTATTTACTTTGAGAAGCAGTCACAGTCAGGCATCACAAGAGATCACAAGGCAACCCGGGAGTTAAACGTCACTGCGCTACAAGTGATTGACTGATGTCAACCACTTTTATGACTTTTATGACCCATTAGCACTGCTGCAATTTGGAGCGTCAAACAGCCTGCAAAGTTAAAAAAACCAGGAGGCATTCTCTCATCTATATAGCTGTCAAATAAATGTAGAAGACTAAAAAGTACTTCCATCTGAAGTGTAGTAGCAGTAAATGGGAATACCTGTACAGAGCAGTAAGTACAATACACACACAAGTGTACTCAAGCAGGTGCCCTCATAGTAAGTAAAAAGAACAGTGAAGGTTGTTGGCCTAACAGTACATTTATTACTTTTTAAGTTAAACTCCCTGCCTTTGTTTCTCATGTCAGATTTGTCTCCCAGACAGTCACATTCATCACTTCCCATTTGTCTCCAGTTGTTTCCATGATTTTTTCCCCCATCAATCACAAAACAACATTTTAATATAGATGCAATTTGTCTGAATGTTTTCAACTGAAAAGAGATGGTTCTGGGCTAGCCATGTATTAAGTGCCAGATCTTAATGTATGGTTTGCCCGATAGCCTCTTCTTTGCTTCGTTTTTCAGATCTCCCCTATGATACTGTAGTCTGTTCCATAACAGTTAGATGAATGAGAGAGGAAGAGGCTGAAGAAATTGTGCATGTTCTTCAGTGCAGGGACTCTTAAATTTTCTGTGGGGAGTCTGTTAGATACTAACCTTTTTGTTAGAAATTAACCCAATTCTTTTGTTGGAAGCACGAGAAGTGAAGACAGGAGAGGACTGTTTAAAATCAACAGAAAGTTTACTGAAAGTCTGATCACAGGAAAGTCTTACAGCTCTGGATTCAGAGAGCCAGAGCTCCCGCGGGAAAACCAACTTCTGAATCCCGAATCATGTTTTACAATGCATTTTATCTTCTTGGGCTGCTCCGCTCTGGACAGAGGTACAACATTCAACAGCTTTTGATCCTGTTCTCCATTTGGTGTGAACCGGAGCTCCCCTTGTTTCAATGTGTTAGAGTCTAGGTGTATGTGTGTGTGTGTGTGTGTGTGTGTGTGTGTGTGTTGGTAACTTGGACTTGATCAAGCACACAGAAAAATGGGTTAACTAGGTTGCACAGCCCCTATGT